TGACCTTGAAAGTGGGTCAAGGACATTCATTTGAACAAACTTGGTAGCCCTTGATCCCAGCATGCTGCAGACCCAATATCAGTACCCTGGGCCTTTTGGTTATTGAGAAGAAGTTGTTTGAAGATTTTAAAGACATCTGACATCAGTGACCTTGAAAGTGGGTCAAGGTCATTCATTTGAACAAACTTGGTAGCCCTTCATCCCAGCATGCTACAGGCCCAATATCAGTACCCTGGGCCTTTTGGTTATTTAGAAGAAGTTATTTGATGATTTTAACATATTTGACCCCTGTGACCTTATAAGTGGGTCAAGGTCATTTATTTGAACAAACTTGGTAGCCCTTGATCCCAGCATGCTACTGGCCAAATATCATCTTCCTAGGCCTTTTGGTTATTGAGCAGAAGTTGTTTAAAGCAAAAAGTTGACGCCGGACAGACGGACGACGGACGACGGATGCCGCACAATAACATAAGCTCACTTGCCCTTCGGGCANAAAGCAAAAAGTTGACGCCGGACAGACGGACGACGGACGACGGATGTCGCACCATAACATAAGCTCACTTGCCCTTCGGGTGGGTGAGCTAATAATGTATAGGTACATTAAGGCAGTGGTGATGAATAAATAATGTATAGGTACATTAAGGCAGTAGGGATGAATAAATAATGTATAGGTACATTAAGGCAGTGGTGATGAATAAATGATGTAGAAAAGGTAGGACGTTTATTGCTGTGTGAAATTTAATTATCAATTACAAAAGCTTTAAATAATGCTTTCTTGGAGTTTAATTTCCTTTATCACTGAGATTTAAATTATATTTTTATGTATTTTTAATGAATCTGGTCATAATAAAATAAATGCATTACATTTATAAATGTATAATGCATGCTACTCCACTTCCCCTGCCATCGTTGATACATGTAAGTGTGTATATGTCTATGACACTTCATTACTACAAGAGGCCCAATGGGCCTGCATCGCTCACCTGGTATAAAACTCACACTTGTAACCTGAAAAGTGATCTAAAATAAAGCTACAGGCAAAATATCAGTATTTATGATTAAAATTCATTCAAAAGACCATTATTTTTTTTTTAACATTTCACCCCTGTGATTGAAAGTCGAACAAAGTCATTATGTTGAACACATTGTATAGCCTTTCATCTCAGGATGCAACTTGCAAAGTATAAACATCCTGGGACCCATGGTTATTCAGAAGAGGTTGTTTAAAGATTTTAAACAAATTTGACCCCTGTGACCTTGAATATAAGTCAAAGTCATTCACTTTAACAAACATAGTAGTCCTTGATCCCAGCATATGCTACTAACTAAATATCAACATCCTGAGCCTTTTGGTTATTCAGAACAAGTT